TCAAATACTAAGCCAAAGCGCTTGATGTGGTAAGAAAGCAGATGAAAATAAATTGGGAGAGTAGGACATTGTAGAAGAATGGTGAAATCGGAATGGGCCTAAGAATGGTACAGACCCAGGGTATCTGGGTGGCTCAGTCGGTAAAGCACCTGCCTTGGACCCAGCTCATGATCCCAGGGTCATGGGATTGAGCCCTGCATGGGGTCCTTGCTCAGCAAGAAGTCTGCTTCTCCCTTTCCTTCTGCCTGCCACGCCCCCTGCTTGTGCACTCTCGCACTCTCTCTCTCTCCTGTCTCTCTGTCAAATAAATAAATATTTAAAAAATGATATAGACCCATGATAAAAGGATGGTAGTGACTATGATAATTAACTTACAGATACAAAGCCCCGGGCTCATTAAAAACTATTAGAAACGAAGAACAAACAATGTGAATGTTGGTTATGGAGAGCAAAGAAGTCAGATTACTTAGATGTTAGCCTGTGGAATCTAGGAATATAGTGATTTAATTAATATGGAAAAAAATTTATTATGGTAGATGAAAAGTTTTATTTAGTGTTGGCATTCTACATTAAAGGTATTTTTGGGTACCTAGAACAGAAATAATAAGACCAAGGCTTGAAAGATCAGACATTTCAGTCAGGAATGCCGAAGAAGGCTCACCCACAGGCTGGTTTTCGCTGAGCTTAATTAAGGTAGTGTGTCTGCCATACTCTCTGAGACCTCTCTGTAAGTGAAGTTAGAGAAAATAATATTCAAAAGGATTTCTCCAGGAAATGAGGTGGAAGAGATATCCCGGTAGTTTACTAGTCACTCTGGATAGTTAAATGGTTAAATAGCAAGTAAAGGAGGCATCAGAATCAAGGAAGCATCAATAAGAGAATCTGGATTTCAGGTTTATTTTAAAATTGAAGTTGATTAAACTATGCTTACATGTCCATGACAATAATATATCTAAAGCAACTGACTTTATTCTTACTTTCATCTGAGCTCTCTCGTGATGTTTTCAGGATTTGTAATTTATGAAACATGATTGTGTAAGCATTCAATTTGAAATACCCAGTTGGAGGAAGAAGGGAAAATAAATCTTGATGGTATCCCTTCATTCTCACCCCTTTTCTTTCATTTCTATGAAAAACACTCACATAGGGATGCCTGGGTGACTCAGTCGGTTAATCATCTGCCTTCGGCGTAGGTCATAATCCCAGGGTCTTAGGATCAAGTCCTGCGTCGGGCTCTCTGCTCAGCAGAGTGATTGCTTCTCCCTCTGCCTCTGCCTGCTGCTCTCCCTGCTTGTGCTTTCTCTCCCTCTCAAGTAAATAAATAAATAAAATCTTTAAAAACATACACACACACATATTTAGGACTCACTCTTAAATTGTTAACCACCATCAATTCAACATTGATCATATTTCTTTTTTACTAGTGATAGCAGACTAATGTTGTGTTATCCTCAAAGACTCAGGCATTATGGAAAAGATTTTGAGCTCCATTTGCCTTGGATGTTTGCTTCCTATTTCTAAATGTCCTCAGAAGGGAGAGGGGACAAAGGAGGTGGTCTTACTATTTCTTAAAGCTAAAATGACACAGTAGAATACTTTTAGAGACATCTTGATTCTATTAGAATTTTCAGGTCAAAGGGCAGGTTCAACTGTTATGTAGTTTAGAGCACCAGGGATGGATTGAAAAGACCTCTTTAATGACTTAAAGTTGGATTTCTGCTACTACCTACTCATTATGCAAGTAATATGGCATGTTAGTCAACCAGTAGGGGGCCACTAATCACTTTGAAAAGTTCTGTGTATACATTTTCTTTTTCTTTTTCATTTTTTTATCTGAGGAAAAGACATTAACAGAACAAGGAGAGCAGTTTAGCAGTGCAGTTCTTATTTTGCTGTGGGCTTGTGGCATACATATATTCCCTTTCATATTATACGTGCTTGTATTACTCCCTAGGGGCTCATGGGAAATAAAGTCAGAATGTGCTTCACTAGCAAGTCTTCCTTTTCTGTAGATAGACTTTAGTTAGTAAAGCTCTTAAAGTCAGTTATTAATCCATATCAATTTTCATTTTCGTTGAAATAGCCATGTTAGAATAGGTGACTTCCACATCTCAAGCAATTGAGTCTGATTAAAAAGGAACTATTTCTGGTATTCTTATTTTCTTCTTTTTAGTTTTCTGGATCTTCCAGTTTTTATTCCATGAATGCATATTACTTTTATCAGAAAATACCTTTCTTTTTTCAAAGAACCAATGTTATTAAGAGTTAAGTGCCTACTAAAATAAGATACTAAAATCATTTGCTTTTTTTTTTTTTTTCACTCTGAATTCCATTCCCTCTGGAAAGCAGGGCATTCTTTAAAATTTTTTTAGTTTTGACACTTCTGAGTGCTCTCTGTGAAACTTAACCACGTAAGTTCAACTATACCATACAGTCTTTTCTATCAAATAGTATTGAGGGAACAACAATTTTCTTATTCCCAAAAATTAGATGGCTGTTACTGTTTATTAGCTCTAATATTCTTGACGGTCTTTCAGATTTCTAAGAGATTGCTCTCCCTTATAATTGTCCATTTCAAATTTACCAAAATTGTAGACAAGAGAACAATTCTCTCTTTCAAAAACAAAAGAAAAACATAAAAGCTAATATATCCATAAAAAATACTGACATTACCCCCAGGTTTATATGTTTATATGTGCAGTGTATAATGAAAAATTTTATTCTCTTGACTATCAATTGACCTTTTTTTTAAAAAAAAAAAAAAAAGATTTTATTTATTTATTTGACGTACAGAGATCACAAGTAGGCAGAGAGGCAGGCAGAAAGAGAGGAGGAAGTAGGCTCCCCGCTGAGCAGAGAGCCTGATTGGGGTGGGGGGTGGCTCGATGCAGGGCTCGATCCCAGGAGTCTGGGATCATGACCTGAGCCGAAGGCAGAGGTTTAACCCACTGAGCCACCCAGGCGCCCCTATCAATTGACCTTTTTAGGCATATACACATGTAGAAATCACTATCAAGAGTATATTTTCAAAATGGAAAAGACAGTAGTGTGTTAAGTTAGAATATTTTTAGAGGTTGAGAGCAATGGGTATTGGAGAGAAAGTTTGATTCTGTGCAGTTTGTAGTATTTATCAATGCTCAATAAAAAATAAATGACATAATAAAATTTCTATTTGGATTTTATATAAAAAGAACAAAAGACTTAAAATTATGTATCTTAGTAAAAAAGGTATTATTCCAGTGGCTCAGAGTCTAGTACTACATCCTTTATTTTAAAAATTTAGAATCTGAATTGTCACCTGTTATATCATATTGCATTATGGGAATGTGACATTTTACCCCAGAGATTAACTGTACCACAGTAGCTGGCCAAGCATATCATTTATAAAAGAATTTGGAATTCAGTCAAGATTCTTCACCAACATAGAATAATTTTTACTATTTCACATTATGATACTTTCCTTAAGCACAGAATGGAACTCAGATCCCATCACCTTTGTATCTTCCATTTTGCAAAAGTGCTCCTTACTTCATCTGATTGGATAATTTATCTTTCATTCATCTTCTGTTATTTGCCTGCTGCTAAATGTGTAATTCTATTAGTGCACAGAAATACTGCAGCACCCTTATTGAGAAAACACATTTCTCATTCCAGCTTTGTCAGTCTTTGAGCTTCCCCAAAGGGAACAGATGACAGCGATCGGCAGGAAATTGTGCATAGTGAGACCAACTTGAACTCCTTCACCTTTAAGCTCATTTCACCACTTAACATATTTTTTTCAAGTGGTCAGTGGATATATTTAGACTATTGTTATCCCTTTGCTTTTGACTAAAGCTTCATGGGATAAGCCATCCGCCATTTTGTAGAATTATAGAGTTTAGGGACAGTGGAAAATTACACTGGGGTCAGTGAGAATCTTCTTCCCTTCCAACAGCAGAGACTGGTTAAATAAATCTTCATTTCCATAATGTAAGCTGATCTATCTCCTCCGTTTGTTGGTACTGCTTGTTCAGAGTTCTCCAGACCTACCCATCTAGAAAACAGAAAATCCTTGTCAGAATATGCAAAAATAGTCTTCCAGTTTGTGGCTAAACTAAAACTCTTCCAGATGACTGCTATTGAGGCATAATTATCTTAACAAAAGACAGAAGCAAGGTTAAACTTGGGCAGTTCATTCTTAGATTCAGCATTTCCTCAGGTCAAAAGCTCAGGCCACTTAAATAGTTCCTGTAAATCAAATCTGCATTCTTACAGATGACTTAAATAATAGATGAGCTATTGAGGAATGCATTTTTGCCAAGGAGAATAATTGTTCACCAACTTCGTTCAGATCATTTTGTAAATTTCTCATGTTCACCCCTCTTCTAAATCCCACCTTCTTTTCCTTCTGGATGTGAGCCAAAAAGTAGTTAGCTAAACCACAAGGAATCCGTAAGGTTCAAGTTATTGTTTCAAAGTCCACAAACGTTTGCCAAATAAAGCCACGACTGGAAACTGATTTGCATTGATGAGAGAAAGAGAATTTTAGATGTTTAGAATGCCCCAAGAACAGATGGCTGATTTTCTAAATCCTATTTCCTAATGTTTACAATTTGTTACACACTCTATACGTAAGAGTGTTTTCAGTTTCATTCAGTAATGCCTCAATTTGCCTGGCAGGTACAGAATGCTTATGAAAAGAATGAATTAAATGGGTAAAATGTATGGGTGATAGTTTTAGTCTTAGTTCTAAAAATTCATTAATTTTGTTTACTTTCTGAGTCTAACTATAGGAACTCTTTATTAAGATGTCAGGATAACACAATGATAAAGACATTTAGAGTCAGAGAAATCTGAGTGGGATTCCTAGCTGCACCATTTACTTCAAGTGTGAACTTGGGCAAGCTATATAGACTCTCTGAGCCTTGGTTTCATCACCCATAAAATGGGGGTGATTATAATAACTTCAAAGGATTGTTTTGAGAACAAATGAAAGTCTTGGAATTTTCTTTATTTTGTAGGCAAGAAGCTCTTCTGGCTGCCATTAGTGAAAAAGATGCCAACATAGCCCTTTTGGAGCTTTCATCCTCTAAGAAAAAGACCCAAGAGGAAGTGGCTGCACTGAAGCGGGAGAAGGATCGTCTGGTGCAGCAGCTCAAGCAGCAGGTAATAATGAAATGCCAGGGAGGGCCCATGCTGGAGGGGCAGTAAGACCAGCTCTCATGCCATTCTCTACCTTTGTCTTTGCCAGCTTATATTTTAAGGTCTTGCCTCTCATATTAGACATCTGATCTTTGTATCTAGCTAGGTTTTGTTTTTCGGTTTTTGTCTTTCGAGGAAGAAAGAGGAGGAGAGGGACAGACAGGACAGACAGAATCCTAAGCATACCCACACAGAGGCCGTTGCAGGGCTTCTTGCTCTCACAACCCTGATATCATGACCTGAGCCAAAATCAAGGGTCAGTCGCTTAACTGACTGAGCCACCCCAGGCGTGCCTCCAGTTAGTTTCCATAAGCAGAGACTTTAATCTTCTTCACAAATCTCTGGCTATATCTTGGAATTGGAGAGTGTTCTAGGTAAGAGCACGGGTTTAGAAGATGTTACAGGTCGTCTATGAGAGGGCTTTTTAACTTAGCTGGATGAAATTAGCAAAGTTCTGCCTACTTAAAATGAAGAAGGCTTATTAATCTTTTTACATGCACCTAAAGTCCTACTATAGAAGGCACTAAGTATAGTTTTAATTAAAAAATTTCTAGCTACTCAGAGCCGAGTAAGCTTTGAAGATACGAGTAAAGTTTTCTTTTTCCATTTTTTTCCAACCTAATCTTTCCCTGAATTTAATGCTTAATATTTATGTAAGACCTATGAAAATAAAAGCTATACATTTCCCCTTTGTTAATGGTCTGACAACAGTGTAAATGTACTTAATGGACACTTAAAAATGACTAAAGTGATAAATTTTGTGTTATGTATGCCTTATGACAAATTTAAAACTTGGGGGAAAAAGTCTTTGAGAATGAAGAGAAAGCAGAATTTTAAAATCTAAGCCCCCTTCTTTATTTTAATGCGCCTCACTGGTCATTCCTTCACTGTTTGCAGTGTCCACAAGTCCTGCCTTCTAGTATCATCTCCTTCATTCTCGGTCACATTTTCTGTGCATTGTGTCTGCCTAGATTTGCTTTTCTACCTGAAGTAATAAGACTGGGAAAGAATTTTTCAAGTGAAGGAATTTCTTCTTTCCTATGCTGGGGGATCAGTCATCAATTGATAGCATTTTTAACATAATATTTAATGTTCAAATTAACAAGAATCAATATTTATACAATAAAGATATTTCTGTTTGTAGACCAGTACTTAGAACTGCTTAGAAATAGATTTTATATTTATTTATGGGACCAACTTTGCTGAGAAAATACCAAAAGGTGTCCCTTTTCTATAGGATAGATCAATAACCAGCAAAAAAAAAAAAAAAATAACCCATTGCTCATTTATAAGCAGAGAATCTTTTCCAGTGTCCTAAAATACTTTGTCATAAGAAGAAGACATTATGCAGTATTTGGATACCTGTTAAGTAAAACAGGAAGAATGTGCTTAATATTAAAGACATCTGTCCAGTAGTTCAAAACTGAAATTTGGCTTATGAAAACTGATAATATGAGTCAAATAGTGGTTGCAGTGGCCTAGGAGGGTGGGGAAGGTGGGGAGGTGTTGTTCAAAGAGTATGAAGTTTCAGTTATGCAAGATGAGTGAGTTCTAGGGATCTAATACACATCATGGTGACTGTAGTTAATAATATCCTATGGAATATTTGAAATTTGCTAAGAGTAAATTCTAAGTGTTCTTAAGAAAGGTAACTTGAAGTAATAGAAATGTCAATTAGCTTTATTGTGATGGTGATTTTATGATGTATACATGTATTAAAACACATTGTACCTTAAATATATACAGTTTATATTTGTCAGTTATACTTCTAGGGGTGGGTGCTGATAAATGAAAAAGGAGGGTATTGTTGAGGAAAGGTGTTCACTAGTTTGTGAGTGTGTATATAGTTAACAGTATCAGTTCCCCTAAGTAGTTAGGCCTAAATGTATAGACATAAGATTTAAGTAGTTCTTGGTCCCTCTACTTTCAGACACTAAAACAGAATAAAATGTCTATTATCTCATCCATAGTGGCTTTTGATTACTTCGTTCTTAAGGCTACGTGTTTTCAGTAGGATATTCATTAATCCATGAACTTGCAATCTTAGAAAAAGAGCATCTTAATGTCTTTCCATCTCACTATATGCCCTGAATATTTTGTAGTGATGTGATCTATGTAAGGAGAAAGATAAATGTAATTTTGGGGAGTCCTTCCTAAATGTTTTTCTGTCTGCTTTCCATGTAAAGTTTCACATTCCTGCGCTCTCAGAGAGTGTCTAGGATTCTGTGAGCAAGAAGGAACTGGTCTTGCCAAAGATATTTGATTCTTTAATTTTTCTAAGTGTGTGTACTAACTTTTAGACAAGGGAGAGGCCTTTTGGAAAGAGGATATGGCATCAATATTGTTTTAATTTTAAAGCTTCTAGTCCTTGAATTGCTGGAATGTGCCTCAATCTAAAGGCCATTTCCTAACAAGGAAGCAGTCAGCATTGACCAGGCTTTCCAGTAAGTGGAGCTGCCACTGCCTGATGGGCTCTTGACATTTGTGTGCAGTTCCTATTGTCAGAAAGGGATTTATAGATTTGAGGGTCACCCTCTAAGATGGGCCCAATTTGCATACCCACCCCAGGGTAACTTCTCTCCTTGATTCATTCATGGCAAAGCAGCACTTGGAGAGGCTGCATCAGAGGAACGGGCCAGAGCCAATGAAAGAAAGTAGAAAATAAAGGTTGTCTAACAAACTCCAGATGTGCTGTGGTGGGTGCCAACCAGTATGTTCGGATTCTAAGTCATGAAGAAGCCCCCGCTGTGATTGTCAAGCACCCACGCTGGATTTAATGTAAACTCACATGGAACCCTGGGAAGCATTAACACAATCTGTTTAGCCACAGCAGCTGTCACAAGATGGCCTTTCTCTCAGCAGTATTTTCTTCTTTTCACCTCAAGAATTTTACAACCTCCATATTATATTTGCTGTTAGTGTGAAGTCTGGCTCTGCCCCTGTGTGCTCTATACAGAATGCGTCATGGGCAGATTGGGCTTCTCAAGACAAGCTGCATGGTTTGGTTTGGTTTGGTTCTTTCTCTGTTTTTTAAAGGTCAGCGATAACATTAGAAGAGGAAAGGCTACAAATTTACACTGATTTGGTTCGAATCTAGACAATCTCATTTACATCTATAATTGTAGAATCTTCTGGATTAGGATGAAATGTCAAACAATATATTCCTTTATTCCAGCATTGTCTAGGCATGAGGGATATAAACAGACAGTACTTGCTTTAAAGAAGCTCACAGTATAGTGCTTAAAATGCTAGCTGTTCTAAACATTTGGCAAAACCATTCTGCAGAAGGTAGCCTTACCATCTTTTCCTGCTGACAGCCTCAGCAAATCATCCCTGCATTACATGATTTATTTGCCCGTTCATTTCAGATTCTTTGAGTATCTCCTATGTGTCAAATACTGTATTCATGGAAAATGAATGTCTCTCTTTCTAGTTATCAGTCTGGCGGCTAATCAGACCTAGGTTGTACCTTTAACTCTCTCTTTTACCAGTTAGACAAATTTTTTCTCTGAGGTTCATGTTCTTGTCTATAACATTTGGATGACGTTACCTACCTCACAGGGTTGGTGTGGAATTAAATAGTATAGAAATCCAAAGCACTTAGGCTCCCACTTCTGTTCCCTCTCAGGGATCTCTGTTTCACAGTAAGTGCTATGCTATGGGTGATACAGGCTACATTGAGAAAAGGGAAGACGTCAGTAATTATGGCTCTCATTCAGTCATCTGTAATAACTATTGAATTTTCAATATGACTGTAGTATTTTTCTTAAGATTTTATTTTTAAGTGGTATCTACACCCAGTGTGGGGCTGAACTCACAGTCCTAAGATCAAGAGTCCTATGCTACTAACTAAGCCAGCCAGGAACCCCTCATTATGACTGTAGTATTTAGAATTATCCAACCAGCGCATTGTGTAGAAGAACCTATTTCTCAGAGCACTTAGGAGAATAAGTGGTACATTTTATCCTTCCTTTGTTCTACCTGTTTTTTTAAATGATACAACTATAGTATAGCCTTTTTCAAAAATAATTCTAATATGTCTTTCTATTCTATGCAATATGTCTTGCATTTTCATCATCAAAGAACATTGTTTAAATGCCCACCTACCTGAAATTGTCAGCACTAGGAACCTTATAACTCCAAGCATGCGTTTTATCTCACTCACTCTCTAGTTCTGTGACTTTCCGCTTGCCTACATGCCTCTTCTATCCCTGACTCGTATGACTTTACAGAAATATGTGAAGATAGAATAACTACAAAAATGGCTACCACTTATCAGTTGACTATACTATACTGGGCACAGTTGCTTTGTATATATCATATCTAATCCGCACCACAATTCTGTGTATTATTATCTTTATTATGTAGATGAAGCACCTGTGACCCCAAAAGATTAAATTTCTTGGGTAGATTTCCACAAGGACTAAGTAGTAGGACGAGAGCTGTTTCTCTTCTTACTCCTACCATCTTATGTGGAAATTCCAGACAATTGGTAATTAGAAATGTTGTATTGGAATTAGAATAATACAAACAATGCAGGGGTACCTGGGTGGCCTGATCAGTTAAGTGTCTGCCTTAGGCTCAGGTCATGATTCCCTGGTCCTGGGATCGAGCCCCGAGTCTGGCTTCCTGCTCTCCGGGGAGCCTGCTGCTTCTCCCTCTGCTTATACTCGCTCACACTCTGTCTCTCTGTCAAATAAATAAAATCTTTTTTTTTAATTAAAAAAAAAAATACAAACAATGCTATTTCAAGTCTTATGGCACTCCTTTGTTCCCCAGAGACATAGGAAAGGGTATTTGTTTATATTCCAAACCCTCCCCTCTCTGTCTCTGAAGAACCTGAAACAAAAAAGAAATGGTGGATTTGTCCCTGTTCTTCAAATTACTAAAAAGAAGTGGTATGAACTTGAAGCTACAAAATTACAGTGAAGTATATTATCTTCTTTTATGTCTTTGGTGATGGC